TTTTAACGCAATATTACAATATAATGAAAACAATAAATTAGTATCGTTTGTTTAACAGTAGATGCTATTAATTATTCGGTTTTATTTCCAAAAATATACAGGCACTCCGCACTTAACAACGGATTTCCGTTCCTACGATGAGGTAGATAAACGAGGAACTTAATTGTTTTTATTTATTTTTGATAGAGAAAAGATCTAAAGGAAATTCCAATTTGATAAGTTAGTTTTAATTTGCATCTCTTACATAAGAATATAAAAATACAATCAGCAAAAATTATAAAAATATTATACCAAAAAATTAAAGTTTATTCATTAAACTGAAAAAATCATTCATATTAATATTTTAGTCATCGAATCCTTCAAAGTGTGATAGTGACTCGAGGTCACCAGTGCCATCAGCAGGGTTATCAGGAGGTATAGAGGATCTGGGTAAGGAAGATGACTGAGAGGAAATAGAAGTACAGTACTTATAGGGATAAGAATCCTATAACATTTGAGAAGTATCTCGTTAGTGTGATATGCTTTGCAAGTTTCTTTCTTCTTCATAAATTTCACGTAAAAGTTCATTCATTTTTCGTTCCGCTTTTGTGAACCGTTTTAACATTCGGATCCATACCCTGTAGTTTGAATATAGCCGCATTCACTTTCGAGAACATACCATCTAACCTTTTTACTATAAACTTCTTTTGTACTTCTTCCATTCTTCCCTCTTCTTCCCTCTTCCAAGTGCTGCTGCGAATCCAACTCTGTTGCCATTTCTTCGATTCTTGGTGATTTCTCTTTTCGCAGACATCTTGTACTACGAAACGCATTATAAAATACAAATTTTTAATCAAAATATGTAGTCTTGGAGATGCGAACTCTTCGTGTGATAGATACTGGCCGACTCGGGAAAAAGACTAAGACTAAGAAAGGGGATTTCCCGCTGGAGAGATGGTCATAAGTCCGAACGGTTGTTAAGTGAGGAGTGGGGCTGCATTTAGATATTTCCATTCGCATTCGCTAGTAATTTAAATAGCACAAAAAGAAAATGGAAATGATAAATATCAATAATTTTTTTTTATTAAAATATAATACCATTCCATTATCAGATTTATAAAATTTCTATACATTATACATGACATAAACTTGAAAATGTTATAAATAAAAATATTGTCTTTGTTTTTAATAATATAATTATATGTAGGTCTAGGCGTTTTTCAAGATAATATACTGGTAAATTTAGATAAATAATATAAAATATATTGTAACCAAATTATGATTATAATCAAAAATTTATGTAAAAAGATATTCAAATTCGATAGAAATTTATTTCGATTTTATCGATTACGAATATATTCTATGAAATCTTAAATTCGCCAGGAACCATTCCATTAAGTGTCATTAACATCAAACATTATAAATATGTTTGATGTTAATAAATGACAAATGCTGTCAGCATTAACACTGAAATTCACGCTTAAAATGAGAAAGTAATCTCGAATTTTGCTAAATTAAAACCATATTTTTCACATTTTTTACCGTAATTATTCCTGAGTAATTCGGATAGAAAATTTCCTACTCCTTTAAAATTGATATCCTTCGTATCTAGAATAATAAAATCTAGATCTAGATTTAAATTAATTGTGTATGTTTATATAGTCAAAAAGATACTTAAAATCAAATTTGGAATAAAATATTCTGAAATTTTTAATTAATTGTCTGCTCTACTTGTTTAACAGTATAAATGGTTGTAAAAATTGAAGTTAAAACTATAGTAAATCCTCACTTAACGTCGTCGATAGGTTTTTGTAAACTGGAATTTAAGCAAAAAACGACGTATAAGGAAACCAATTTTAGAATGAATAATATATACAAGATATAATTCGGTTAATATTATTCTAATTGGAATCGTGTTTGCAACCTCCAGTAATTATTTTACATCTCATAGAGTCAATTTTACTATTTATAAAGAAAATTCGACAAAAACAATTGTAAATGATTACAAATATACTTGTATCTTTCCTCAACGACATAAGTGAGGATTTTCTGTATATTAGTCTCATCAATTTATCTGTCTTTAATACATAGTTATAATTTAGGCTTTGGATTTACAACTCTACATAGTTGTAAATCCAACTAGTAGTAAATCCAACTCTACATAGTTGTAAATCCAGAATATCTTGTTTCAAATTTACCAACTAATCCTATTTTTGTAACGAAAAATATTTATATAGACCTACAATATTAATGTACGAAAATAATTTTGTTTTTTGGATTGCAATTTGAAAAAAATTGTAGATCTATAAATTCCCAATGTCGTCCGTCCGTCTATCTGTCTTTCCTTAATCTCGGAAACGGAGTTAGATAGATGAAATCCGAGAGCAGGTACGGAAATCTTAAGGTCAGAAGGTCCAGATTAACTATATACAAACTTCCGATGAAACCCATAAGTCATGTTATTTCAATTAAAAAAAATTTCCCCCGAAAGGTGTTAGATAGATGACTAACATGACTCTATTGTAAAGGGAAAGTATGATGTACAGAGGCAAGCCACTACTAATAATTTGAGATAGACAGCATATATTTTAAGTTAAATAAATTAAAAATATGATTAAAAATTGCAGCCCGGCATTGTGACGATATGACAATAAATAATTGCTCTCGTTAATATTAAATTTTATGTAGGTTTAGCTACATAAAATTTAATATTAACGAGCAATTATTTATTTATATAGGCCTACAATATTAATGTACGAAAATAATTTTATGTTTTTGGACTGGAATTTGAAAAAAAAAATGAAATTATAAGGTATAAGGTGAAATTATGTAAAAATTAGATTAAGCCTAATACAGTATTTTAAAATCAATGTATTATATATTAGTCTTAATAATGTGTAAACATTAACTGAAACTTGGTTTCAATTATTTCATTTATAACGAAATGATCTTTTTCTAACGTATATTGTCATAAGCTTTGAACAAAGAATTAAAAAAATGTTTTAATAATTTTTTAATATAAGTCCTTGCATTTAATTAAATTCGTGTATGCTCAATAAGAGAGGATTCCGTTTTGGTTTTATTTGTATACGGCAACTCAATACGTGGACGATCTGCCTAAGGAAAATAACTCCCGGGAGGACTTTCTAAGTGAAACTTGTCCCTATTTAGTTATAAACGTGAAGAAAAACAAAACTTCACGTGGACGTGGTGCGAACTCACGATCGACTACCAGTATTCAGTAGTTTTATTCACTTGGCCACTGGTGGGCGCTTAAGAGATTCATTTCAAAAACTTTTATAATACCATTATATACATAAAAATATAGCCTATATACAATGCCAAATTTAAACTTACAATCTCAAGTTGTAATATATGTGAGATATATATAATAAATATGAGATCTTTCTGCTCCGCCAAGTAATAATAAATTTAAAAACAGATCTCAAACTGCAGCCTCGCATTGTGAGGTCTTAAGCTTCTTAATAAAATTGATTAATTCAGTTGATAAATTTTAATGTTTTAGCCTCCTGACAAAAAAAATTATATCAAAATTGATAATTGATTCTCATAATTTTGATTTATCCATCATAATTTAGACATGTATAGAATCTATTATATTATTTGTAATGTTCATAAAACGTTTGATTAAATAAAATGATTAAAATATTGAGCAGATCAATAAGCTTAAAAAAGCCATACAAATAAAATTTTATTATAAAACTTTACAATGTAAAGCTAGACGATAAATTATTATTAATATTAAAATTCTGATGCTCAAATTACAAAAGTATCGGCTCAAATAACGAATGCAGATATTTATCACAAATATTTTATTAAATTTAATTTGATAATTTCGTTTCTTATTAATTTATTATAAACATTTCAATCGATTTTTTCAATTTATATCTATAAGAAAAGTTTCTAATGGCCTAATATCCTACACTTTCTAACACTTTAGTAAACCAAACATAAAGAACTTTAAAAAGTGTGAATATATAGCTCGTATATTTATTCAATAAGTCAGTAAATCTATTTTCAGTTAAAATATTAACGAAACGGCTAGAAAACAAAACAAAATAATGAAATATAACATAGTACAACCAATTATTTAACCTCATTATAAACAACTTTACAATAAGAATAACATAAACATATACGTGATAAACGGTTACATTTAATGTTTTAAGCCCTTAAAAAAATGCTAAATAAGCATTCTTCATCTTAAATTAGGCATTACATCATTTCAGAATCGGCTGCAATATCTGTTATTCGCTTATAAATTGTTTCTATTATGAAAAATCTATTGTTAAAAGTCTAATGTTGGGCAAAGTTTCTAGAAATTTTGATTAGTCAGCTATTTCTTTATAGTCGGAGTTTTTGGAAAAATTAACGCAATTAAATACGCAAAATAACTAATTACAAATTGTAATTTTACTTGTAAACATAATCTAAAAGAGAAAAATGTATTACACGGTATCTTAAAGGATGCTTTTAGGCGTTTATGGTGAAACAGAAATGTCGAATGTTATAAATTTCGACAATTAAATTAATGGCAAACAACTAAGATAAATAATTGGTTTGGTCTTTTCGTCGGACGTATATAGACTACTTAAATTAACTTATGTTAAAATTTATTGATCCGCAGACACGTCTGCGATAACGGACGAAACAGATATAGCTTATGGTATCTAATTGTCCCTCCTTCGTATTTATTTATCTTGCGAAGTTTTGAAGAGAAATGTATCTTAAAGGATTTGTTACGACTGTTGTTTGTAGTTCATCCGTATTTCCAGATGGTTGAGATCTTATTTTAGAAAATAATTTAGTTTCTTTTTCAAAATATGCACGACGAGGAAAAAAATCTATAATTATTTAAATTACTGACTTTTACTAACATTTTAAAAATATATTGTTACTCTGATAGTTATTTCGATTATCAAAATAGAAAATATTGATGGTTTTTCGATTAATTAATTTAAAATAGTAATATTATTCTTATTTTTATGCATGAAAATTACCTTCTTTTTTCATTCCTGCTCTGAAACACTTCCTAAGACGACAGTATCGACATTGATTCCTTTTATCCTTGTCAACCACACAATTTCTTTTGAAACGACACGTGTATAGATGATTTTTTCTGACGCTTCTTCTAAAAAAACCTTTACAGCCATCACAACTGGCTGCTCCATAATGTTTACCTGTAGCTCGATCCCCACAAATGGCACAATACTGACCGATAACTTGATTATTTTGAGAATTAGACTGTTGAAGACTACCTAAATCGAGTTCACCTAAAAATAAAATAAAAATCCAGTTAAAAACTACAGTAGGTAAAGATATCTTAATACTTTTCTACACTTGACTGCTTCAAGAAAATAAAAAATCGGATCAACAAAGAATCGATATGTAGTGAAGAGAAAATATTACAGAATGTTTGTGACATAGTTTTTTTTCTGTTTGGTTATATATTTAATCAACTTTTATCAAAATAATCTATATTTAGATTAAAAGTACCTTTGCTACTAAATATTTTGAAGAATAAAAATGAAATTTCGATATGATGATAATAACGCTTGGTTTTATCTTTATTCTTTCTCTATTTTTGTGCTGAGTGAGATCAATTTACAGTTTAAACAGCTGCTGTTATCTTCTCATCTATAAAGTTTAGGAGAGTTCAGTTAGAATTTAATTTATTTCCATTTATTTAACACTGTCCATTACAATATACGTCAATATATATGTTACAATAATACAATGGTCTTAAGTCTCTTAGTGTGATAACCCCTAAAATAACAGGAATTTTACAGTAATTAAGAATTAATTAAAGAAAGAAAAGGGATAAGAAGCTAGTCGGTAGACGTATTGTATTATGAGATTTACAATATATAATGCTATACCTACAGAAACCCTCTTACCAGGAATGAAATACTTCATTAGGAGTTTAATAAACGTAACACAACAAAGTTTGCGTTGAGTTAGGGGTGTCAGCGACCCCTTATCTGTTAGTGTTTGAAAGGAATGCAAACGGCAAAGAAAAAAATACTACTATAAATACGTCATTCACTTTATTAAAAAAAAAGCAAGAGCATATTTTAAAAAGTAAATAAATAATAAATACCATAATAGGCCATCACATTAACCCAATATTCGAGTTTAAAGAAACATTTAAGGTTTCTAGAATTTTTTAAATATCTAATTTATCTGTAATTTAATACGAATAATTCATATTCCTGAGCCTATATTTATTTATCCACATTACTTAAACAGGTAAATACATGTTCTAGGGCTGTCAGAATCAAATTCCAGTCGTTGGTTTGTTTTGATGTTATATGATATTTTTTGTTGTCCCACGTAAACATTCAATCACGTTTTCGTCAAAACTAATTCCTTCTTGCATATTCGAGGAAATAGCTTCATCGTTTTCAAAATATATCAATATATTTTAATATACACGTATGCATATGTGCAGAGCCGGCCCTACCATAGGGCGAACGGAGCAGCCGCTCCAGGCGCTAAGCCCTAGAGGGCTCCTCAGTGGTAAAGAAAATTAAAGGGTATAAATTAGGGGCAACCAAGGGGGCGCCATAATAGGATCTCGCTCCATCCTAAAACTTGCCTCGGGCCGGCACTGCATATGTGTACAGTACATTAGACGCGTTAATAATTAATTAATTATAAATTAAAATAATTTATAATTAAAATAAGCAATATAAGCTAATTAATGTTTAATTTACGTTCTAAAAATAACAGAGATTTTAGTTATTATGATAATATTAATATTACAAAATCGAAAGAGGATTTTGCAATTCAGTTAATTCAAAATATAATTTCGAAAACTAATCAATTGTGGTTTTTTGTTATTAACTTTATGACGTATAAATATTATTTTAACTCGATATTTTAGTACAGTTAAACAATTTCGATGACGATAATTATATATTTTTAAATTAAAATACTTTTTTCCCACTGTTATAAATAATACCAAGATATAATAATTTTAAATTAAAATATATAAACGATAAATTTGCATATAATTTTATGTAAACCAACTAAAACACAAGAGAATAATAAAAAATATAAATTTTATGTATTTATGCTAATCTATTAATTAAAATGTTTGTTGGTTAATTATTATTTATTCAGTGTTACAATTAATTATAAAATCTAAATCAATAAATTTAATACAGTGACGAAAATTAAATAAATAAAAAGTTTACATTTTTGTTTTGTTAATTAAAAAAAAAAAATATGTTCTGAAAGTTTAAATAAAATAATAATCTAATAAACAATTACGCAAATTTTATTTTATATTACGTTAGTAGTTAAATTAATATTTAGTTTAATTTTTAATTTTCAGAATTAATGAATGGTCTTGGAATTAATTTTAATAATAAATATTATGTCCTTAAACATTACGTAAATAAATTATAAGGATTTAAATCTTAAATATGGCAAAAATTATTATAGAATGTTAATTAAAATAAGAGAAAATAATAAAATTCCGCAAATATAATCGACGGACGATTATTTTGAATTTTGTTTCCCTAATCGATTTTGTATGAGCGAATTTAAATAAGTTCTAACCAACTTTTATCAGTAATTTTTCTATCAAAATTTAAGTAAATTCTGTCAATCACGTGTACATTATTCGTGAAACTCTGTTTCCTTAATTGTCAGTCAACCAGGCTTTTAACTTATTACTGTAAAATTACATTTTACAGTAATAATTACTGTAAAATGTAATTTTACAGTAATTAGTTAAAAGACAATCTCACGATACACATCCGGTTTACACAGATTTTACTGTTTATACAGTAATTTACAGAATTTACTGTATAAACAGTAAAATCTGTGTAAACCGGATCACCACGGTACCGAATTATTGTATTTTTTTCCGTTTTGAACAAATTCAGTATTTATTATTTTTAATCTTAAACTACACCAGATAAATGTCACACAGTTATATTTTTTACAGTGAATTCACTTTTATATATTTAAAAAAATTATTATTAGGCTTAATCCAAATTAGTAGGCCTCAAAATGAGGTCAACTAAAGATGAGAATATTCGAATGCAAGAATTGAGATTTGTTCGATTGATAAACTAGTTTTTTGTTCTACTGTCGGAGATTCTAATCGCGTTACAGTAATACAGGACTGAGTTATTTTGTGCTCTGGCAATCTCTAATTTTCAACATATTAATCAAGCTTGTTTTCGAATATTTGGTACTAGTACTAGTCAGACCCTTCGAGAAGGGAGAAAGAACTTGGGATTTTTCCCCGGATCAGGAGAAAACTTGGAGGCCCATAGTGGTTCCTATTCCTATAAATTGATGCTAATTTTGCTAATGAAAAGAAAATTTAAAACTGCTTTTTATTAATAAAGAAACATTCTAGTTATTTCATTAAAAATAGTAATAAAAGCAAAATGAGCCGCTCTACTCTCGAGCCCCATACAAGATCTCAACGGCCACGACACTAGTTAGTTAGTTACTAATTATTCCGTAGCACTGTGTTATTTTATTCACGATATTTTCATAAATTATATTCGTTGCTAGTTCTTGAAAAGTCGATTCTCGCAAACACATTCGATTTTTGAAAGAATTTTCGATTCTGCCCCTGGTTAGTTCCAGAAAAGACTAATATCAAGAAAGACCAGATCCGTATTTTCCCTTGACATGTGACTTGACTTTCTACTAGTAAAATATTAATTTTCTGTTTTATCCAAGTTAAGCTAAGTTCTTTGTACCAAAAACTTCTTCCGATCTACGTGATAGACATGCTTACAGTAAAATTATACAGTAAAAACGTAGAAAATCGCTCTCTGTTTCGGAGAATTTTTTCCGTTTAGGCAGGTTTTCGTTTTATTCGGGTTCCGTTTTGAACAGGTTTTACTATAATTCAATATGGATACCGAAATGTTTATGAAACTACATGAAAATCTATTTCTATTGTAAAATAGTCTTATTTCATTTAAAAATGAATACTTTTATTGACAATAATAATAAGTTATTGAAAAAAAAAAAAAATAACACAGCTATTTTAATACATATCCTTTTCAAGTGACATTTTTGATAAATAAATAAATTTTAAAAATTCTAAAAAGAAAGAAAATAATTTAATTTTTGTGAAAAATTTGTAAGATGCTTCGGAATTACAACAAAATTAAAAAGATTTGATTAGTTTAATTATTATTTTTTAAGTTAGGGTAAAATTCTTATAAAAGCTTGTAAAATTCGGCCATTTAACGGAACTAAAAGTACATTTTTACGAATCAAAATTGCTTACAGGTTAGATTTATTAACATAAAATTTATAATAAATAAATATTATTTAATTTAAAATATACAAAGTTATAATGATATTTCCCATTGGGGATATGTATATATACAGTAATTATGCATGTTTTAGCGGCATGCAGTAATGATAAATCAAACAATGATTTTTTTTAAAGTTTTCAGTATTAATATTTGCTTGATATTTAATTTTTCTATTGACAAGTTAGTAAACAATTTAAAATCTATTAGGAGAGTTCCTGCGGGAAATATGCTCACTCTGTCCGTCTTGTCTCTTTGCTACGCCTCTTGTTATAATTATCTTAAATATTTATTTATTTTAATGAAAAAAATTAGATTTAAAAAATAAGGTCTACGTTAAATCAGCTTAACATTAACGCCAATTTATTCAATATACGATAGACGTATAATAAGAAATATCACACAATATGGTGTTTGTTCTTTACTAATATTACAGAGCTGGTAACTTTTTACTTATATAATTTATTTTTCGCAGCCTATATTACGTAAATTATTCATAGATTTGTTTAATAGCCTAACTGAATGACAGGCAAATGATATATTCTAAATGCTATCACGCGATATTTTTTATCTCTACGACTTAACAATAATTAAACAAACTTATATTTGGTATTAATATTAAGTGATAGTGGAATAGCAATTAGCTTGGCAAATAGTAGAAGAAATTACATAGAAATTTATTTAAATATTGTTGCTTTATATAAGCTATATTTTTAACTTATTATAACTTATATCTGTGTATTAGAATACAGCATAAGTTAAGTTACGTAGACTAATAACCGCTTTATAAACTACACAAAATATGGCTTCTGAAATAACTGTCTTCTGTTAAATTCTAATAGAATATTTTGAGAAATCAAATACAAAAATTTAACATTGTAATACGGGTTTAATATTTTAAATTAAACTGTAGGATTCACTAATTTATTAGAAAAAAGATTTTCGAGAAAGTACATGCTATATTGAATTAAGTTATAGTAGTATAAGGTCTGATTTATTTTGAATATTTTTAAAATAACCATTCGTTAAAACTCATTATAAATATCCTCAAAAAGGTTAAAACTTATGCAGGAATCGATTACATAAAATTCAAATATTTCTCTATTAATACACGAATGAAACTTAAATTCTAAAAATATTGTATAAACTAAAATAATCCCCACAGAGTATAAGCTTAATTATGAGCTGTAAATCTATTAAAGAAATTCATTAAATAATTGATTAAATCCTAAAATTTTAAATGAGTCTACATAGAAATTTCCAGTGAATATTAACATCATTGAATAGATATGTTAAATAACGAATTTTATTTTAAGTTTTGTCAGTTTAGAATTATTCTATTCAAATAGCTTAAACTTGTGAATAAATCGAATGAGAAGTAATGATTTTGATACCGAGAAATCTGAATACAGCGACAATAAAATGATTCCAATGTTGAGATATGGTCAATGACATAATCTGTAATTATAATCACAATTGATACCTATACTTTGCCTATTAGGAAGGGATGTAGGTGAATATAAAATATCTTTTGTTTTATTGTGTAATATAAAACAAGAGATATTATATATTATCTGAAAAAGATGGAGATATTATATACTGTCTGAAAAAAAAAAAAATGGAACAGCAAATTGTAACGCGGTTTAAAAGTTTCCTAACATTTCCGATCTAACTGTCTATCTCTATAGAAAGTTTGATTTATTCTTATAACATAGATACAAACAAGATTAATTAGATTTAGCGAAATATTTTAAAATTAAATTTACGTTTGAATATTATTTATTTGGCTAAAATGGTTACTAGACAAGATCTAATTTAATTGAGAATTAAGTATTGATAAATAAATTACTTAAGTTCATATAA